ATGAGACATGGCCAGGAACCCAGGCAGCAGGGGCAGGGATGTCCAGCTTCATTGGCTCTTCAGGGTGACTGGCAGTGTGGTCCCTTTCAGGTTCAAGGTCTAGGCAATCTTGTTTGTTCTGCCCAGTATTTAATTCTTTTATCATCTCCAATGGTTTCCAGCATTTGAGTTTCATATTTTGGAGGACAACCTCCTTCTCTGCATCTCATGTCAAAGGTTCATTCAATACTCTGATGCAAAATATGAGTTTCATTTAATTCATCTTTAATCTTTTCTTCTGGTGCTTGCCCAGTCCTGTGTCACTCATCATGTAAGTGCAATTGCAGGCAAGGCAAAAAGTTGATACAGTGTTTTGAGAAATTCCATTCAGTAATATCTTTGCCTGGAACAATGTTGGCATTAGGTTTTAGCCCTTTGAAAATCAGTACCTTGAATGCAATAGGACCTTCACTATAAACACATCTAGCTATCCAAATTCACTGGTCTTATAAAAACAGCACTTCAGTCTATCTAAATATTTTGGATGTCCTCTTGGTTATTGGGACTGGTGATGAGGGTGTATTGTAATTCATTTAAACAATCCTGATTTTGAAACACTCACTTCAACAATTCCCACATACTGTAATTCATTTTGACAGCTTTGACTTTAAAAAACCCCAACATGGACACTATGAAATGATATCGATCCAGATATGATATTTTAAGTGCGATGACATCTGCAGCACAGTCAACCAGTGAAAATGGAAGACATTAGATTGTGCCAAAATGCGTGAATTCCAAATGTCACTCACAGTTATGAACCCATCAATAGCAGACTGAGAAGCTTTTCTTCAGCCTCCACATAAGAAGTTTGCAGTTGTAAGAATGTCTATGGAATGTGGGAAGACAGACTACATACATTCAAATTCTGGTTTGATTACTTAGTTCTCATAACTTAATATTTCTAAATGTGCACTGTACAGCTTTTAAAAATCAAGAAGGCCCGTAACCGCAATGAAACGAATTGATCATGTATTTTTCTTGATGCAGATAATGCAGCAGATAAGAACCTGTCAATTGTTTCCCTGATCTAACTAAAGCAAGACTAGGCAACCTCAGACCTGGGGGTCAATTGTGGCCCTCCAGGACTTTATACCTGGCCCTTCTAACTCTCCTTAGGCCACACCCCCTCATCAGTTTTGCTTTGCAGCCTCCTTGAGTATTTTTGCTTGGCTAGAATGCGCCTTTGAACTCTTGCCTGCCTGGATGGAGGACAGGGAGGGGTGTGTGTATGAATTAACATTGATTCCCTCAATCACTTTTGCTTCTGGCCTTGCATACCAGTTCCATCTGGGCCTCAGAGGATTGCCCAGAAGGGAATGTGAGGCTCTGGCTGAAAAAGATAAAGCACCCATGTTTACAGTGCTGAGTTCTGTTGTGTTACCACACAGTGCGCACCATTTTCTCCTCACAGGTTGATTTGGAATTGGTGGCCTTCTAGAGTCTTCCACAGAACGACTGTGGGATGGTATGCACTCAGTAGGCACCCGTGGCTCTGCCATAGGTAAAGGTAAAGGGACCCCTGACCATTAGGTCCAGTCGTGACTGACTCTGGGGTTGTGGCGCTCATCTCACTTTATTGGCCAAGGGAGCCGGTGTACAGCTTCCGGGTCATGTGGCCAGCAGGACTAAGCCGCTTCTGGCAAACCAGAGCAGTGCACGGAAATGCTGTTTACCTTCCCGCCGGAGCGGTACCTATTTATCTACTTGCACTTTGACGTGCTTTCGTACTGCTAGGTTGGCAGGAGTAGGGACCGAGCAACGGGAGCTCACCCTGTAGCGGGGATTCGAACCGCCGACCTTCTGATCGGCAAGTCCTAGGCTCTGTGGTTTAACCCACAGCGCCACCCGCGTCCCCTCTGCCATACCATCTTCAAAAAAAGATGGTGGGGGGAAAAGAGAGAGACACAAAGGAGGGCCATTCTGTCTTGTTGGAAGTGTTCCTAGAAGCATCATCCCTTGGCACAACAATTTGGAAGACTAACTTAGAAAGGTCTAATTGACTACAGAGCCGTCAACTTGTCCCTAATGCCAAGTAACAGCAGTGTGTGTTATACCAGATCGTAAACAGGAACTCCTAGAATATAAACCCTCAAGGGCCTAGAAAATGGGCCAGGAGGTGATAACAAAATCAGCCTAGCGCCCTGTTCCCAATGCCATTTCAAAAGCCGCTCCTGAGTTTCCTTTCATCCCTCTGCTTTGCTCGTAGCAGCATCCAGAAGATTAAATGTGAATTCCTAGATATTCTGGGGACAGTTCTAGACAGTTGGCAACGGTGGCGGAGGAGGCTCATTGTTTCTCTTCACAGACGTGGCAGTCACTTCGTACTCATCAGCCTCGACTCCTGGCAGGAGCAGCTCAGACTGTTTTTATGTTTCCTGCTTCTGCACAGAGGCCGCTCCAAGCCGAGCAAATACCAGACTTCAATGACATGTGACCCAAGGCGCATCTCAGCCTTACTCTCCAGCCAGGAGAGGTCAGGAGCAGCGCCCAGACCTTGGTATTTCAGAGCCCCCTGAGGCACTGTACATTTTTCTGACATGAACGGGACATCTGTAAGTCCATAGCGATAGCACAGGGGACTTGAAAAAAACCCACACACCTAAGAATCTGATTCTAACAACATTCAGAGGGCTCAGCATTCATATGCTCTTTCAGACAGTGGTCCAGTAGCACAAATCTCCCTCCTTGCTTCCCTCCTCTTCCTCTCCTCCTCAAAAAGGCTGGGGGGTGGGGTGGGAGAGAAAGAAATAATGGTGATACCCTCAACTGAGAAAGTTCCTAGCAGAGTGACATTGCTCATTAAATTCACATAGTTTGTGTCAGTCTCGTGGCTGGTTGGTTTCACTCATAGCTCGATTTCATGCAGGGAACACACACACGGTTGTATAAAAATTATATGCACATTCAGTCCTTTTTTGTGGGTACCTTTTTTGGAGGTGCTAGTACTCATATCTTGATAACAATGCTGTGAGTGTCAGCACAAAAAGGTTACCAATGGCATCAAAAATAAGGAGATGATAGCATGCCATACTCTCTCTCTCACACACAAATAAACCCACAAACAAATTGTGTGGTTTCCACTGTACATGCCAGGGGCGGATTTAGGTTTGATGAGGCCCTAAGCTACTGAAGGTAATAGGGCCCTTTATATGTCGAGCTGTCCTTTGCCAACAACAAATTGTCACTGTTTTTTGTGTTGAATATATGCTATATGGTAATTTATGGACCTAATAGGTATCCAAAGCCATTTGCACATAACAAAATACGTATTTTATCAAAGTAATTGTTGAACTTATCTTATATTTTGGAAATGTACATCCAGATTTTTTTCCCCTTTAAATTTTTTGGGGGCCCCCAAGAGAGTGGGGCCTTAAGCTATAGCTTGTTTAGCTTATACGTAAATCCAGCACTGATACATGCTGATGTTCAGCTGAAGGCTGGTTGAGATGTCCTCCAGCTGTCCCTATCAACCAGAGACAGATTTCTTGGTTGCTCTGGTAAAACCCTGCCCCCGTTTTTGCCTTTCAGTGATGCAAATTCAGACGTTCAGCTTGGAACATAGGAAACCATCTTACACCAGGTCATGGTGATGATTTAAGGTGGGGGAAGGGTTTAATAGATTTAATAGATGCTAATTTAATAGATGAGTATGAGTTCCTTCAAAAATCTAATTGCCTGTGACTTGATCAAAGTCACACATATAGGTATTGCAAGTGTCTGGTCCTCAGCATCTCTTTTGCCTAAAACCCATCAATCATTGTGTCACTGCTCTTTATTTGGGCCTTAGAAGACATTCCCTCCCCTCGGAATGTTAGCATGGTGCTTCTGCACAAAATCTTCAAAGCGCAGTTTTCATCAAGGTGATATTCAGCTTTGAAATTCTTAGTATGTGGAAATATCTAGGAATCCCCACCGAGTGGGCAAGAAATAAAATGGAAAATCTTTGACATGTGTGCATCTAAAAATGGCCTCTGCTTTCCATTCTGCACAACCCCCTTTTAAATCTAAAGCATTTTCCTCTCTGTTTATAGCATTCATAGCACACTGGCCTAGTGCTCCAGTTTGCATCCAAGATGCTCCAGATGTTGGATAAGAAGTGCAGAGCTGTGGGCCAAGAACTGTTAAATAAAAATGAATAGCTGTTTGTTTTTCTTTTGAGAAGACCCGGAAATTCTCTCCTTTGTCTTCTGTTTCAGTAAAAGCCCCAAACACACTGGACATAAAGGATGCAGATATAAAAATGTGCCTTCATGTTTCTGAACTTAAGGAGATGGTGGTAGGGAGGAAAACATCAGCTGTTTGGTTTCTACATGCCAGGCTCCACAGTAGGAATGGGCCATCTGTCAATTTTTGGTTTTAATTAGTGTCTCATCTTTCTGAAGTTCAGTTTTTCACATTAGTTTGTGAATTCCCCCCCCTCTAAAAAAATAAAATAAAACCCACAGAGAAATTCATTAGCATCTTGCGTGAATTCCTCCCAACATACACAATTTTGTATGCAATCTTGCCTAATAAACACATTTTTGCAAACCTAATACAGTGGTACCTTGGCTTAAGAACTTAATTCATTCCATAGGTCCGTTCTTAACCTGAAACTGTTCTTAACCTGAAGCACCATTTTAGCTAATGGGGCCTCCTGCTGCCGCCGCGCCGTCGGAGCCCGATTTCTGTTCTTATCCTGAAGCAAAGTTCTTAACCCGAGGTAATATTTCTGGGTTAACGGAGTCTGTAACCTGAAGCATATGTAACCTGAAGCGTATGTAACCAGAGGTACCACTTTATAATGTCTTGTATGCCATTGTCACAGATATATGCATTTTCCTGCACATTCCTTGGTTGGAAAACTGCACTGCAAGAAGTGTGAATTTTGAAGGATTGGTTGCATTTCATAGAATTGTAGATTTGGAAGGAACCTTGAGGGTCATCTAGTCCAAACCCCCTGCAATGCAGGAATCTTTTGCTCAATGTGGGGCTCAAACCCACAACCCTTAAATGAAGAGTCTTACGCTCTACCGACTTGAGTTATTTTTCTGTTTGCGTATTGTTGGAGGAAGTGTGAAGTATGTAGAGTCGCCTTTAAACAGGAACCAAACAGAATTTCTCCCCAGACCCCCCACTGCAGAGCAGTGTAAAACAGCTGACAATCTCAATGTGGGCTGCTTTGAAACCAGCCTGCCCATTTTCTGGAAGGCTAGGTTGGGCCCCTGGGTGGCCAGACAGAAAGGCCTGCTTTACATTTCAAGGCCCACTCTGCAATTCTCCTAGCTGGCTCAAGCAGAATTCCTGGCACACTGCACTGGCCCTCTTAAATAGCACTCTGAAACACAGCATGCCCGCTTAGCAGCAAGGAGTGCCAAAGGGCAGCTTGCTCCATGTGTTGCAGAACCTCCAAGCAGCAGATTAGCAGTGCCTCTAATCTTTTTTAAACAGGACATCTGGTTTGGCCTAGCAAGTACGTTGCATGCAATTTAGATATCACTGTGACAAATAAAAAAGGTACAGATAGGCATAGGGAAATGGCTGGCAAATGGATCTCTTAGTTATGTGAACTTTTAGATTTCAACCCAACTATCTGCCTCATTGCAGACATTTAATGAAGACATTATCCCAATATCTGGAGTTTTTAAGCTATAACTACATTTTTGGAACAAGGCTCATTTATCATCATGTACTCACAGAACGAGTGACACAAAGCAGGTATTGATTCACAATCCAAGATAAAAGTGGCTTAACCACTTCAGCCTATGTGAAGTCAGTTGGACAAAGGCTAAAATCCTAAGAATACTTCATTAGAAATAAATTTCTCTGGATTCAGTGAGATTAATTATTATGAATAAATACTATATTTTACTTTAAGTATTCACAGGAGCATACACACAAACCTGGAACTTGTTCGGAAACTAAAGAGCAATAAAATGCAACAGGACAGATTCAACTAATGGGTTGTTTCCACTGCTAGTCCTACTCAGAGTAGACCCACTGAAATCAATGGGCATGACTAATTTACATTTATTGATTTCAGTGGGTCTCCTCTGAGTAGTTGGATGCAACCCACTGGGAGGAGTTTGGCATAAGCGCTAAGGAGATTGCTATGTCAGTACAAGCATTTGTGCTTGCCTGGTGGAATGATTTTCCCTCTCCCCCATCATGCATTCTTCTGAGGGTTCCCCTGACACATTTCCCCAAGCCAATGGGGGTGGGGAGGAACACACATGGGCAGAGGAGAGGGGAAATCCCATTGCACAAGCAGAAGTCCTTGTAGAGGGCTTCTGCTGATGGGGCAGGTTGGGCGAATCTTGCCCTTTGTCTCTCTTGCATCTTTCAGTGGTCCAGCAACTGAATGGTCTCAGCTTCACAATTTCTGTTTTAAAGGCTAGAGGAACTAGAGTCATTTCCAGACTATCTCTATTTTACAGAAGAGTTACAATTGCAAACAGACACATTTAGATTTACACAATTAAAGTGAATTGAAGTGCTCTGGGGCTCTGGCACAAAACCCTTCACTTTTTTAAAAAAAAGTCTTTTTGTATTAGGGAAAGTGAAGAGGAAACGCACTAGAAAGTGTAGGACAATGACTGATAGGAAGTCATAAAACATCCATGCAAATCTGGATGGATGCTCATTAAACAGCATGTCTGGAAGCAGGCTAGCATTTCAGTACCAGCTGCAAAGTATATTTCAGCTCTGATATTTGCTCTTCTTGCAGAGCGACTTGATGAGCATTGCCAGCTCCTAGTTCACTAGGGAAAGGGAATTAAAAACCTCCTCTTGGAGACTGGAGGAAAAGGTGATGCTGTCACTCCCAAAGAGGCCTGTTTCCTCCTTGTTTTCCCCTGAAATGGTTTCTGCACTGACACTCCAAACGCCCCTTTTCCGCTGTAAATGAGCACAGCTCTTCCTGCACTCCCACTTCTATTCATTCCCAACTGTGTGTCTAATTTATCAGGACAATTCTCTCTCTCCCCTCCCCCCCGCTATGCCCATTCTCTGCTCTACATTCAGTGGGTAAGAAATGGGCAGACTTTCCCATTAAACCACACACGTTCCCTCCCCACTCCGCACTCTCAGCTGGAGAACTACCGGTAAATCAAAGCTGGTGACTGAAAACATGCAGCCTGTCAGTGTCCTCTGGGGTGGCAACTTAGATTCATGGATGTCCAAGCGAAAATCTCTCTGGATAATTTGGCGGCAGCCTGGATCTGAGCTGAGTGAGGAGCAGAACAATGAAGGATTCCCTTCACCAGAGTGTTTTCAAAAACTGTAAATAGAAAATACAGGAACGTCATCAGCTGACATTAACAATAAAAATATCCCAGCAATCCTGGCTGAAATGTATGAAACAATGTAGACAGCCCATGTGTCCAAGCAAGTATCCAAACAATATTGATGATCCTAAGTTTTATGTTCAAACGTAGAAGGCAGTGAGTGGTGAGTGCCTTGCAGAATAAATCCCTTTGCAACCATAAGAGCTCACAGGTTTCACTTCTGTTGCTTATCTGTTAGTCCCCACACCACAGGAAAATAATTTTAAGAGTAAGTGGACATCCTCAAAGATCAAGGATTTTTGCAAAACAAAACTAATTAACTTTTATTTTTATGTGTGTGAGTTATGTGATCCAGTGAGCAGGAACTGCACATGAAGATAGAGGTGAAGGAGGAACTTGCAGGGGGGAAGCTGTGAGGTTATGCACGCTTCTCCTGCCTGCTGTGTCCCTCCTTTAAACTGAATCCTCCCCTTGCTGTTTTTCAGATGGTCAGTGGAGACTTGGGTTCCCAGAACAGTGCTGACTCCAGGTTTTGTGGGACCCTTGACCAAGCGGGCTTCAGTAGACCTTCTCTCTGTGGTGCCCCTCCTCCTTTCCAAAGCACCACTGACCACTCACTTTCTCTCTCTCGGCCCAATATGCACGAGTGCCCAGAGGGAAGTATAGGATGTGTCTCCTCCATTTCAGCACTCCTGGCATTGATGGCATGCTTGTAGAAGGCAGGTGAACGGTTAGCAGCAACACAAAGGACCTCCAGATAGTGTCAGCAGGCCATAGGAATCAGCAAGTATCCAACGATGTCTACTTCTGGTGCCAACCCTGGCCCTGAACTGGGTCTCTTAAGAACAACCTGCTGGATCTGGTTAATGGCCCATCTAGTCCAGCATTCTGTTTTTACGGTGGATCACCGGATAATTATGGGAAGCTTGCAAGCAGAACCTGAATGCAAGAGAACTCTTTCCTCCTGCAGTTTCTAGCAATTGGTATTCAGGAGCACCGAGGAGGCAGAATATAGCCTTCATGGCTCATAGCCATGGATAGCCTTATTGATTGTCTCAGGAGAACAGTGTCAAGTTCAGCGCATAGAGAATTTTGTTTCCAAGTCTACAGCCTGTCTCCAGACACATAATGAAGAAGGAAAACCCTCCAATTGCACCAAACCACAAGTGATAAGAATCCAAGTAAGTGGTAAGTAATGCTGTTAACAGGACAATATAAAACATGACTGCTCTTTCTCTGGCACCTCTCTACCGGATGAATTTACTATTATTATTTTTTACAGCATGCGATAAGCCGCATAATTATTCTTTTTTTGGATGTGTGTAATATATCCCTGGTAATATTGCTTTAAAATAAAAGATACCAGCACCAGCGTTTAAATCTAAATAATATCAGCCGGAAGCAGCCTTGGAAATCTGAATGTGGGGTTTGTGTTGACACATTTTTGATTTATGTCATCTGCAGTCATTGGAAAGAAAATACAGGAAAACCCTACAAGATTTAGATGGGATTTTATTTAAAGATGGGATTATTCCACACTTTCTTTCCCCAAAGGGAGAGAGGAAAAGGGAAGGAAGTTGCTTTAAGGAGGGATTGTTACAGTCCCTTATAATCCTCCACATCTAAAGAGAAGCTTTAAAGCTGCCATGGGCCAATTTCCCTTAGTTTTATCTAGTTTTCAGAATGATATATTTTCAAGTAATTTGCAGGGCCCATTTTAGGATGTAATCTATTGGATTGTATTGGGCAGGAAAAGGCTTTTTCCCCTTTTTTTTTGGTCCAAAGGCCAGGCTGGAAACATCATGGGAGATCTATAATGGGATCTCTTGGCATCTTTTTCTTTGCCTGCAAGCTGCCGCGTGGGAGCCTTGTTTGGACTGGGTCCATGGTGCTTGGGAAGGGGCTTAAAACCTTGTCCCCTGTACTTTTCCTAGAAATACCTCCCTAAAGCTGATATTAGCCAGAGCAGAGAAGGAAGATGAATATCTGCACTGTATCTATTTTGTCCCCCAATCCCCAGCAACTAGTAGCAACTCTCAAAGGAGGAGGGCATTTTGATGGGGAAAATGCTTCAGGAAGAAAAGGTTAACCTCTTCCTCCCAACACTGCAGAGAATAACCTCTTCCTCCCAACGAGAATGGATCACACATATCCGCCAATTATAGCCGCCATTCATTTAAAGCACAATGGCTTCCCCCAAAGGATCATGAGAACTGTAGTTTATGCTTCACAGAGCTACAGTTCCCAGCACTCTTAACAAAACAGGTCTAAGGAGTCTGGGCTGGGGGTGGGGAAGTCGTGCATTTTAAATGCATGTTGTGGATGCAGCCTATGCCTTGTTTGGCGCTAAGGTCTTGGATCTGCCCCTTTCCTGGGGAAGTGGGGGCAGTGGCACTTAGAGAGCTTTGAGTGAGACATTACGTTGGGCTGTAATAAAAGGTTTTCTCCTTGGACATGCTTGGTGGATGCGTTTCACTTTGCATTCAGGGCCTGCTAATCCCCATCTGTGGAATGAAGAATGGGGATTTCCTGCTAGATTAGTTAGTGATTCAGTCTTATTGAAACTGAAAGTCATGGACCAGGTACGATCTGTCTGTGGGAACAAATAGCTCACTCATTCTTCCAATGTTAGTCCTTATATAGATGAGTAGGGTGTGTGCCCTTGCTTACCAACACCCCCTGCCATCCCTCACCACATTAATGCCCTAGAATTGCCCCTTCCCACCCCATGCAACTACTAAGCTCATTTTTCACTTTCCCAACCAC